CGAGACAGAGATTTAACGCGAGAGAACGAAAGAGAAAGGTGTCGCTCCGCGACAGAGAAGAAGTGAGAAAGAACGAGAGAGAGGGAAAGGAAAGGAATAGAAAAATGAAACGCGAGAAAAGTAGCTACAGATAACGTGCACGGGTTTCCTGCACTTCGGGGAGAGTGTAGACGAGATACGAGAGTCTCACACGTCGATCATCACACACGAGATATATCGACGAAGTCGAGGACGAAAGCGTTTCGTTGATTCGCCGACTATTCGCTTCGCTTCACTGCTCGTCGATGTCACGTCAACGTACTCTCACCATGATCCGCGCTTTTTCCCCGATCTCACCAGTACAGTTTCCACGGGGTCAAGGAGGAATCCCTCCGCGAGAAGGAAGTAGATTTTATTTTCTCTCTGTTTCGTGTCGAAGTGCGTGGAGCGCGTGTGTGGTTCGGAGTCTCGTAACGAGGGAGATCGTCCTCCACCTCCGGTGTGTTCCTGCTCAGGATCCGATCGAGCAGGCACTGACCCCACGAGACGACGTCGAAGCGAAGGAGAAAGAGTAGGAACGAGGCGTTTAAGAGAGAGAAAACTACCAGAGGGAGCAGTACGACAGACGAACGAAGAAAAGGAAAAGGGGAAGAAAGAGACGAATGTAAACTGATAGAGAATGAAAATAGAGAAAGAAACAGAACGAATGTGACGAACGGATCGCGAACACGTATAATACCGAACTCACAGTTGGCAGTCTCTTCTCTCGTGTCTTCTGCCGTGTTGTGTTTCTCTTGCGAATCAACACGCTCGATTACAGTCGACAGATCACGGACGAGTTTCCAACTGATTTCGTACGCACTGTTTTCGAATAAACGTAACACTGTTTCAAAGTCACCGTTGAGATTTGAACCGTCCGTCCGGCGAGACACGAATTCGCGCGCGTACACACTAAACGTGACAGCACGTCGCGCGCTTGTTTAGAATATACTGAATATATTTTGACCGGAGCGCTCCGTTCAGGCTCGGCGCTGGCGCTTCGCGCGTTCGGCCATCTTCGTTCGCTATCGGCCGCGCTCGGACTCCCCGGCTGAACCAATCGCGACGCCCAGCTGACCGCGAACGAAACTCGCGCTCCCGCTCGATTGCAAATTACCTTGCAGGGACGATGCACCGCAATTCGTGTTTACCGAAATGATAACACTTTTTTGTTTACTTTTTTCTTCTAATATGAAAAATAATGATAAGAAAATGTGCTTGTCATTCAGAATGGTGAATTTTACGTGAAAGTATTCGACGCGATTCATACATAAAGTAACAAGACCCCGAGGGAGATAGGATGTATCTCGTATCCAGAGTCACAATTTCATTCTTAAGTTTTTATACTTATTTTTAAATAACTACACGTTATCACGCTTTAATATTGTCTTCCTCGAGAATATATTAACTACACTTTTCTCATACAGTGCACTTGTAATCTAATTATCAAAGCATGTTTCCTTGAAGCGAAATGTTTGCAAATGCCAAGAATACTTAATTACACAATTCGACCGATAAGAATAGGGAGAAGACGGCTCTTTATCGGTTTCGATTTTCTTCCATTTTATTTCGCGAGAAAGATTGAAAAGCCTTCATCCTTTGTATAAAACAACGAATTCTATCAGATGTTGCTATCAAAAATATGAGAAATTCAACTTGTATACTACGTTTCAATTATTTCTTTGAATTCAAAATAAACAAACAAATTTAAATAAAATGAGCAAAGATCGTATCAGTAATTCCACCGAAAAATAAATGATAAGCAAACGCGAAGCAAACGAATGTATCCACTTCAGAAACGTTTAATCGAACAATAAAATCCTCACCTATTAATATTGCGTTTCTGTTGAAACACATTTTACTGGCTTGTTGAAAACGAGATATACCTGTCATTAAGGAATTACGCTTACTTCGTATCGCATAAATCCTATCAAGAATTTTAATCGTATCGCATATAAACGCCTGACAACCCCCCCACCATCCACGAATATAATCAGGCAAAGGTAACAACGGTATCGGAGAGCATTGTGGAACATACACTTTCGCATGTACACATTATGCAAATTGATTCCATCGACCGGTAGACTCTACAGGCGTTCACAGTCTTGTTGAGCGTTTCGGTAGCTACGTTCTAGCTTCTGCTCCACAGCTATCCCGAGACACCCATTTACCAGACAATTTCCAGGGAATAACATCGTTCCAGAGCAGCGACGAGAAGTATCAAAAGGGTTAGTCGAAGGGAACGTACGGAACGTGGGGTTATACAGAGGATATACTTTATGGTTAGTTCAACCCTACGACTGCCTCCCTTATAATCCTCACACCGGAGAATCCAATATTCTCGATATTCCATCTACGATGCTCCGTATTCACATTGAACATTTCGAAGGAAGAAAATTCCTATTACGTTCGAAACACTTGTATATCCTCATTACGTTTCATTTATTAATCATCTTTCTAACCGCAACCGAAAGCTACTGTGTATGTTGTAAGATTCAAGTTGTATTTCACGTAGCCTGGCATTTTACGATTACTTGAACCTCCCAGCTATGAAATCTTTATCGTCTATAAAATACTATACAATTTAACCATTACTACCCCGACAATATTGTAATATATCCGTACCGAGCTTGTTTACACGTTACAAAAGTACCTTTATATATATACTTTGATATTAACAGTTTTTATGGTATTGTCCTTTACCTTATTATTATTTATTTTGTGTGAATGCTAATTTATATAAAAAGAAAGATATAATTGAAAAGGCTTTGAATTATCGGTGAACGTTCCTTAGGTGGATTCTTTGACACGCAATCGCGGATGCTAACTACCGTCAACGCCCATAAAATAGAATACAAAGATAATCTTTCCATCGAGGTATCCGGCGCGGTCAGTTTGCAGCCGTTCAGATAACGCTTCTTTCCAAATCAAGCTCGATTCTCTTATCTGGACACTTCTGCACGTATTGGAGAGGCCGGCGCGATAAACCGTATACAGTATTTTCTTCGAGTTTACGGACGATTAACGATCGTCGTAATTATCTTAAAAGGTTTCCTCGTGGGAGTAATCGAAGGACCGATTATCGTACACCGCCTATGGCGAACTTGCTCTTCTCAATAAGCACGCACACGATTAAACTAAATGGACACGTCGAGCGTAACGGATAGACTGCAAACACGTGTAAAACACGTTTTGCAGTAGCCAAACAAAGTGTGAAATTCGTTTGGATGATGATTAAGAGGCTCGATAAACGATCGAAATAACGATAAATATGAAAAATGATGGAAAGTTACACGTTCGTCGATACGCGTAGTTGATCGATAAACCATCGTAAACGTGTCGTTTTTATTTGCTACGTTTATTATTCATGAAGTGAGAACGATTGCTGTTACGCTCGTGATCGTTCAGTTATTGACGATCAATTAATATAAAATATTTCATCTTTCTCTCTATTTTACCAGAAGAGACTCGTTCAAGATGGCGTATCTCTCCATGGCTGCAAGGAAAGAGTCGATGGGACAGTTCTCTGTCTTGCCTCCTTTTCTCTCATCCTTCACGATTTTTTTCTCGATTTCTTCGATACAAAATTATATAAAGTAGACATCGCATGATGCAATCATATTCGACAATGAACAAGACTGACTGTAGAGATATCTAAATATGGACGCAAGAACGACGATGCGGCGCCTAGATTTTCTAAATTCTATATCGTGACTGTATCGCGTAGCAATGCAACAGGCGTCGATGCACATGCCTGCAACCTTAATTTCGCCTTCTGTACGGCCTCCCAGCTTGCCTTTAATAGTAACTGGAATATTACTAAGAATCCGTACGCAATTGCTAATAACTCAGACCTCGAGTTATCCAGATGAATCTGTCCCGAGTCCGTCCGCAATCGCTCGGAATGACGCTCGGAAACTCTGAAAGAGATACAATAAACTGAATGTAAAAAAAGAAATGAATTCGATGGAACGTAAGCGTTCATTATCGCGTACGGTTTCGTACGAAATTACACGGCTTCGACATTGATGCCTTATCGCGAGTTTCATATCCTGGTACCGATATAAAGGGAACACGATCGAAGACGCTTAACGGTTACTCAATAACAACGGTATGGTGATAATGGGGGATCCATTCTCGCGTGCAGTCGACTGTATGCAATTATCCGATGGTAATGCGCGGTTGTCGTTAGTGAGATTAGCCGTTTTCTTTCACGGGGATTTCTTTGGCTGCCCGTGGAAATTACATAACCGGCTACCGAGAAGTGTTTGAATGAAAATTACACGATACCTGACTTATCAAATTTCAATTTACATTTATCTTCACGCTTCTTGGACAGATTTTTAAGTACACGGTTTGTTCGTATCTTTCACGTCTGAAAGGAACAGGTTTCGTTTCTATAATTCGTGATAATTATATAAATATACGGCGAAGTTTTATTGAAACGTATGTATAAAATGATCACAGTGAAACGGACACTGAAGAACGCGCTTTGTTCTAATATTGTAGGGATCGTTTTGTTTGGATGTCGTCCAGTATTGTTCGAAGTTCCTCGTCTTCTAAGCGGCCTTCTAAACTGGGAATCAAGGCTTTTGCTTCTTCCGGTGTTTCTGGGCAAAGATTCGCCAGCGAAGCCAGCTCGAATTTGTGAAGCTTCTTCTGCATAAGTAAGCTAAAACATAGAAATATTTATAATGAATCTTTATGAATATTTTCCACTGATTACTAAGGTTTTAAAAAAGTATACGAAATGTGCTTACTTTCTTACGGCTGCAATTGTTTCTTTGTTTTTAAATCGACGGAACCTATTTGTGTAAGTTAAACTCTTCATAAAAACTTCGGAAAATTCTTGCTCCTCTTCCGCAGATTCATTCTGTGCTTTTCTGTGCTCCAATAGCATCGAAACCTCCGAGATTAACAGTGTCTCGGCGTTTTCGAATTCTAAAGAAACAAATTATATTCAAACGTAGAGCGTATATTCATTCGATTAATCATTTCATTAATTGTAAAATATATATTTGTTTCATTAAATACCACCGTTTACGAGTCTTAAATATGTTTTATTAGTATACGTTATAAAATAGATGTTACATTATTAATATTGTACAAATCCTGAATAAAACATTACAATTGCTTATTTACACATATTTTACAGATTAATAGGCACATAATTTTATTAATTATTAGATTATTCTTTGTACATTGCTCTATATACTCACTTCATTATTCTCAGTCGACTGGTTAATCCTTACTATAAATTCTTAATTATAAATCTTAATAAATAATATCACAATTCTGACAGTTCTCGTTAAACACAATTCAATATAATTAATTAAACCTACGTCATTGATTCGGTTTATTTATATATCCTTTTTCTGTAAGGAAGTCGTATATTTTACGTGTTTTATTTACATCAATTTTAAGAAGAACCCTAGCTTGTGCCAATCGAAGACAACCGCTCTTCTTATTCTCTGCTATTAAAATTTGTTTAAAATCTAAGTAATTAGCGGGAACAATACGCGTGGCTGAGCAAAGTTCTTTTTCGGCAGGACTTAATTTCTCGTAACCTGGAAGACCTTTAATTACAAGCGGAGGCGCTGTTTTTCGTTGTGATATCGAACTTGGTATAGTGCTATTAAAATTAATGTTACAACCAGGTAATATCGTCTTCCAACTATATTCAGGATTACTTAAATATTGTTTCCTCTCCTTCTCATTCTCCTGTCTAAGTTTATTTAATTTTTGAAACATTGGAACACTATGAAAGTGTCTCAAACCATTACTGCGAAAGTCGAAAAGTTTATTAAGATAATTCTTAAGTTCACCGGCACGGTGTAAACCTTCCATAAAATAATCAAACTCTATACCTCCAAATAATTGCATGAAAATTAATAATCTCTCGGCGAGCGTTCTAGTTATCGTACACTCGTATCTTTGCAACCAGGATATAGTCCTTCTAAATGCTATTAATCCATGATCACGTATAATCTTTCTTCTTCTCATACGTTCCTTTAGTCTGTTATTATATGCTTGCACTATAGCTATTTGCAATTCTTTTCCTAATTCATAGTTACTGTCAGCTGCATCAAACTCGTCATAGTTTAAATCAGATATCAATAACTCTGCATGATTATCAAAGTTCACTTCAAAGTCTGATCTTGCAGGATTATATCCAGCCAGAAGTTTACAATTAAGAGTATTGGGTGCGAACCTAGGAGGTTCCTCCAAGTCCTGTAATTTATACAAGTAAGGAACAGGTTCGCAACCAAATAAACTTGCTCTTGTTTCTTCGATTTTTGGCAATCCTGGTAGAGTCTGATTATCTATATAGTGCTGAAGATAATGATTTTTGCATTCATCAGCAGATTTTCCTTGCATTCTTTTCGCCATATCGACCCAATTGCCAAAACCACATTCCTGTAACACGTCTAGAAACTCTAGCTCTTGTTTTGCTGTCCACCCACTTTCATCGATCAATGGAAACTCATTCTTTATGATAATATAGTCATGATCGTTTCTGTGATTGCCAATTTCTGATCCGTTGGAGAAACAAGAGGGGCACAATTCCATGTTATTACACACAGCACAACGAATATACGGCTCTGTCAAAGCAGATGTGCATACGCGACATGTTGGGTCTGAAGTAATGATTTCATCCTTCACGACTGACACCTCGAGTTCTATGTCATGCTCGATCTTTTCTGTTCTACTCGACGAGCAGTCTGAAAGAGGATAATCGTTACCTTAGGCCATGCCGCAGAATCATTTAAACATTGTTCCCGACTTGTTATATTTGCCGTTGAACATGAGTTGTTACCGAAGAGAACATTGACAAATGTCACATGCTTGAGGTTAGGAAAGGACAAATATTCAATACGTCTCTTCGCTTAACATAAAATGAAAAGGAACGTACCTTTTGGAAACTGTAGATCAGCTGCATCCTCCTCTGTCATATCCGTCAAATTCGGATTAGCCATATTTCCTTATATTTGTTACAATATTCGATAAAAAAAAACAGAAAATCTTATGAAATGTTTACTGTGAGCGGACGAGCATGTTTGCGTTAATTATTTTGCTAGATGGCAGCAGTGATGCCAGAATCGTGGGACGTGGGACAAATTTTTACCCTCTCCACGACGTCCCAGTGACTCCCCTACTTCAGTTGTTTCATCTAACACAAACGTGTTGTCCCACGTGTCCGTGTGAGCTCTACGTTCGGCTGCTCCCGTCATTTCTACGTTATCGACTCGATGCTCAAGCCCACTAAGCATCTGGCAGCAGCATCGACGAGTCAATAAAATAATATAATCTCGTCCATCGCAGATATGTGCTTGTGTGTGAAGTGCGAATATTAATTGCCATGTATATGGAAACAGAGGTGGCAACACTACAATCGTACTATACATGTATATACCGCAGTTCACCAGAGTCCATAACTGCGAAAAGACCAGTTTTCGTTCTTCGCGCTTCTCCAGTGCGCATCTTCGCCCTGATTGGCGATACTTCCAAACGAAGTGGAAAGCGATTAGCAGAGAGCTCGCTGCGTTCCCCCACCATCTTGCAACCTGCGCGTCGCAGTTATGGACTCTGGTGAACTGCGGTATACATCTCTTCACCTTACCGTAGTCGATAAGGTAGTTATGCCAGTGAGGTATGGCACCGACGAGATACTGACCTGGTCAACAAGAAGCACCGACGAAAGACTGTCTTCGCCAAAGGGCGCTAGTTCGATGTGCGAAATTTAGTTGAGATTTTTGCCGCTAGCGGGCTCAAAATTTTTGCACTATTTAGTTTCTTTTTTTGCTACCAGGTGGCGCAATACAGGGATTTCTATCGTGCTGAGATGTGAAGGATGCAAAGATGTAAGGGATATAGGGATGTAAGGAATGCAGGGATGTAAAAAATGATGCAATTCTTAATTGCACATGCACTGTTCGTACTTAAAAACATGTATGGGCTTATAGATGTGGGCTCTTATCGTTAGAACCATTTATCTTTCTCCTTTAGCGTCTTTTCGTAAATGCATTAAAAACGGAGTTATAACCTGAAACGTTTGCGCGGCCCACCCTGAAGAAGGGGGTCAAAATTTCCCGGTTTAGGAACTGCTCAATAGTATTCACGATTTTTCTTATTTTAAATTCAAGGATAATATCGTTCTCGGTTACACTACTAACAAATGAGTTTCATTATCATTGTTTTTGCTTATTTTGTGGTTGAAGTGGGCAACAAGTGCAATGGTGCGGTACCAGTTCTGCTTGTTTTAACAACAGGATCAAACGATTTTGTTGTTGGTTCGATTACCTTGTTCTTATGGAGAAAGTCCTTGAAAGTTATTCGTTTTTTACAAAATGGTACCGCTATGTTTTCGAAATAATGCATGTGTATTATTCTGATTACGATCACAAATCCCTCTATAAAATCATCTATTCATTTACGATAGGTGCTTACGTGTGTAAAATGTTACGCATCAAGAGCACTGATCAAAACATTTCCGTTTGCCGGATGGAGCTGTTTAAGCCTTAAATTGTTTCGTGACGTTGCTTCGACCGAAATGTTCGCTTTACGGAAACCAAACAAAACGAGTATACGATAATTAACTGAAATTACAATGACTGTATATACCAGTATTTTATATAACGTCATTTCTTAATCGTACGTTGACAATCAGAATTATAGTCATCTTGATAAAGATGTACAATGGACGATATTTCCGGATGTAATTTATTTTTCTTTCTAAGTGTCTTTTGTTGAACAGTATACACATTCTTACAATTTTTATCACACTTCAAGTTTACATTATTCATTAAAAAGTAATGAGGTTAATGTTATAAATTATTAAGGGTGCTAAAATAAAGTGCTTACATGTTATATGGGTATTATAATAAAATATTTTTGTCAATATCAAAAATGACAAGAAATGTTAAATATTCTTTTAAACTCTACTTGATTCAAGATATTTCTATTGTTTTTTACATTATTTATTTAAAATGTACCTTTTAATTTTGATGTTTCACAAGTATTTGTATGATTCCTGGCAAACTGACAGAAAAATTTATTAATAATTATTTCATCGAAGCTTAAATATCTGTTTGTATTGTTAATTTAATTATATATAAATGGCATCGATTACAGGGAATCATTATTTTCAGTATTTAATTTGATTGAACCCGGCTGCAAATATACATTCGCCAGGTATAAAACAGTATACTACAATGAACTATAGCGTCATTCCGACGTGGACCGTTTCAGCAGAAGGCCAGTTCGTTCTTCGGATACGAATAACGTATCAACGGTGTTCGAGTATATTAACATTAAGCAAGGCTCAGTTCTTCCTTTCTTCTCGATCATTGCGGTTCTACCTTACGAGCGGACACACCAGATCGAAAGTAAAATCAAGGTAAGGAAGCACAGTGCGAAATGGACAGCACAATGAAAAAAACATTTTAAGTGTTTATCAATTCTTTTAATAGAAAGTGCTAATAAATTTAGGGGTTGAAGAAATTATATTTAATATTTCGAGTAAATTCTTTAATAATATTTGTATTTCTTTAAATATGTATATTAAAAATGCATACAGTTAAAGTTTATGAAAGTTTTTACCAAAACATTGAGATAAAGTTATCGAACTCAAAGGGTTAAAAGAACGGTAAATTTGCAAGTATTAATTAGCACGTTGAGTGCCGCAGTGAAACTGGACGTGTATAGTAAGACACACAACTGTAATTATTATTCAGAATGCGATCGTTTGATTTTTCATTTTAAACTTTCACTAAATGCTTTGCATAAATAATATAATACTAATACTATTATAAATTTTCGTCGACCTTTCTTTTTTTAATTATTTAATTGCATTGAATCATACAATTCATTTGCCATGATTTATTTTGAATTATTATGATTGCTTGTTTGGAAAAAATTATTAATTTTATTCATTTATTCCAAAGAGGTATGATGAAAAATCGAAATTTTAATGATTTATTTACAAAGATTTCAAATTACTTGGGAAAAAAGTGAAACGTTTGATAATAATGAAAGTATTAAAGACAACCTGAGCATTGAACTTCGTTCCAGAAACTCTTCACGTTTCTGTTCGGTAATTCAAGAAGTGGAGTACAGTTACATCCTCGGGGCATCTGACTAAATCTTTCGTAAGACAGATTTAGTCCTGATGTATCGACAGCTGTGTTCGATTCTAAAACGGTACCTTTTTATTGATTCCTTATATGGAATTGCATGTATACAGCCGAATCTATTTATACAGTTAGAAACTTTGCTAAGAAATAAGATTTTCCAAAATATAAAAATAATTTAAATAGTTTAATAAAATATATAAAAATTTATATATAATAAAAAGAATAAAATAATTTTATTGGATTTCGTATGGTGAAAAACATTGGACCTTCGAATTTATTCTTACAGTTGTCAAAAACATTGTGGTAGTCCTATGTTATGTAATAAAGATTAAACTCATGTGGCTGCACGTTTTCTGAATATTTAAACAAGCATCTGAACCGGTTTTTATGTTAAAAAACTATTCAAGTACAATTGGGCCATTCAATTTAAATATATTTGAAAGTCATGATAACGATTGAATAAAAAAATAAATAATGGAACTTAAGGAATGGATATGTAAATTCCTAAATCACATTCAATCAGGATGCAAATATTTTCATCATCAATCAGAAACTTATTGCATTTTATTTCCTAGAAAATTATTATGCAAGATGTTAGTTGATTAATTCAAGTATGTAGTCAAAGGATGTACAATGTGTTTAAATAATAAAATAAAAATTTTGTATTTTTCCAGACATGTGGTGCCTTTTGTTGGTCGCTTTTATTGTAGTGGCAAATGGCCACGATTTTAAAACGATTTATTCGTGGAACTACGTCGACTTCGATTTTCCAAATGAATCAATTCGAGACTCGTTAATATCCAGTGGTCATTATATTCCTGAGAATAATATGCCACTTGGGCTTCAGTCTTGGAATGATAAGTTCTTTATTACGATACCACGATGGAAAAATGGTGTAGTTTCTAATTTGAATTATATCTCGAAAAATGATCAATCACGTAGGTTCTAATTTTAATTAGGATTTTTTAATTAGTAATCCATGTAAAAAATAACAGTTTTCAAAACAAGATTCGACAGTAATAATAATACCATAAGATTCTAAGCAGGATCAGATTAAGATATTTGGGGCAGGGGATTATCAAACCTTTAAGGGTCCCTTGATTAATAAGTTTAATGTAAAAATTGAAATTTATTCTAAATAAAATTGAATAACATTCCATGATAAAGAAAAAGGACAACAATAAAAAAATACTTAATTCAATATTGTTGAATATAGTAAATGAAAAGCTTAGAAGAGGACTCCCTCGGAAGTTGGACTTAGGGCTGTAACCTCTTTAAATCTCCCCTTGATCTGGTCCTGGTTTGAAATAATTAATATTGAAAATGCTGAAAATTTAATTAATTCATTTTATATAGAAGGACATTTACAGAAGCATATGATTACCCTATTATTCATCCGTTTAATTAACTTTTTTTCTCCTCTACAGAATCTCCAAAATTAATTCCATATCCTAATTGGGAAATGAATTGCATTGATTTTCCTGGTAGTATTGTAAGTATTTTCCGCACTAAGGTTGATGCTTGTGATCGGCTTTGGGGTGTCGATACAGGTATTACTGATATTTTAGGCAACGCCACTGTTGTACAACCCGTAAGAATCTTTGTCTTCGACCTAAAAACCGACAAGGTAGTTTATCAAATCTACTTCAGTTATTTAGTTGTATTAAACATAATCTTTTGTTATGTTAAGATACGTGTCCATCTGATATATTAGCAACATTTTTCTTGATCTTAATAACAACATTCAATTGGTCGTTGCAGGTACTTAGAGTGTACACTCTGAAAGATTCCGATCAAACATCTAATTCGTTTTTCGCTGATGCGGTTGTCGATGTCGATCCAAACAATTGCGACAATGCTCACCTTTATATTTCTGATTTGAGCGGATACGGTATAGTAGTTTATAGTTGGGCTAAGAATGACTCTTGGAGAATCACACACAACTATTTTCATTTTGATCCTCTTCATGGTGAGATATTCTGTTTTCTTTGCTGGATAATTTATATCCTAACCATGAACAATTGAGGTCTTTAGAGGTAAAAGGGTGTTCCATTTTTACCAATTTAGAAAAAAAAGTTTAAATAATTGCTTTGACTTGAATTAAAAAATATTTTCGCTCCATGAGTTGATAAGTTTGTATCTCTATTTTTGACAAACTTTTCGTAACGAAAGCTTTCAAAATTTAAGCTGCAACTCTTGCTGCAAGGTTCTCAATTGTGAATAATTATGACTATTTTTTGAAAAAAATATGATTTTGTATTATTATAATATCTAATAAATATTTTATGCCTTTACAGGTGATTACAATATCAGTGGTTATAATTTCCAATGGACTGACGGTGTTTTTGGATTGTCTTTATCTACACCAAGAAACGATGGTTATAAAACATTATACTTCCATGCAATGTCTGGTATTACCGAGTTTTCTGTATCCACTGAAGTCTTACAGGATGATACATTAAAGAGATCAAGCGATTATCACACTTTCCACGTTGAGGGTAAAAAGGGTGCAAGATCTCAGGGACCAACATCCTTGATCGATACAAAAACTGGTATTGATTATTTCACTCAAGTCAGTAAAAATGGTGTAGCTTGTTGGGATACTAGTGTACCCTTGGATGAAGACTCTTTTGGTAAATATTAATAATAATTTATTATTAATTAGTAATATTATACTTAAGTCAGTAATTTAAACAATGCACCAATTGCCATTTTCATTGCTACTTTATCAGAGAAAAATAACTACAAATTAAGTGGAAATATTTTTTCTAACAGTAATGACAATAATAATGATAATGATGGTAATTTTGACCTTTTAGTAACAAAGTTGTAAGAACAGTATACCCTTCTGTTTTATTCCATAGGTATACTCAGTTAGTGTAAAGCAAAAGATAGTTAATCAATTTTCTATGTTTCAGTAATTACTATTATTATACAATACCTGTCACTGACTAACAACGATCTATTATTACGTCTATTATCTTCCAACTCTTAGATTTTACTGTATTTAGCGAGTTATTTCTTCAGAAATATTTATGATTTCTTTCATAGAAAATCGTACCTAACTTATATTTCATGCCCCATCGATTGGTTCTTACGTAACACGATTCCAAGAAATCTTTAAGACATTTAGTATAGAATAGAAGTTCTTCTACAAATGAATCAATTATTTGTTTACAGTGCTCGTAGCTCAAGACAATACAACGTTGGTCTTCCCGCAAGATATATCCATCGATCCGTTGTTCAACATGTTATACGTACTTTCCGATAATTTGCCGCAACTTATGTTCTCAAATTACGATCCAAAGACACGTAATTTCTTCCTTACAGCGGCTGATCTTGATTCTTTGACGCCTGCATGCAAGAAACAAAATTCCAAAAGCAGATGAATCCTTGGTATATTTCAGTGAATTCACTTAATTCTTAAAATTCTTTAGAATGAAAATAAATTTTATGAATTATCAAATAAATATATAATATTCTTTAAAAAATTGTTCCTTTTTAATTTGTTTTAATGCTTAATTTTAATCGCAGTGCTTCCCTGATTTTAATTAAGGTTAGTATATCTTAAAAGCGACATTATTTTTTAAAAGTTTAATTACATTAGTAGTTGTAGTTAGTTTTATATTCTAATAATTAGAAGGATCTAAGAAAAATAATTTTATCAGGTTCTTCTGTATCTACTTTTATTTATACATAGCAGTTATACAAAAGAATCTTCAGAAACATACCCGAACACCTTATACAATATAATAGTTATAATTAACGATAATTTTAACAGTATCGCAATTAAGATTATTTCATACAGTTGTATTTTTATTTACAAGTAGTTTTGTTGTTAAAATGATATTTCATGAATTCATTGAAGGAACTTGTTATGAGAAATCTGAAAAATTCATAAATCACTTAAATAGATCACTTTTTATTACAGTATTACAATATTATTTTTAAAAAATCTTTAATTTGTTCTGGATCATAGTTATTAATCTTTCAATATTCCAAGAATTCTCTCCTTAGGAAATAAAAAAATTTCGGTGGTTTAGAATTCAAAAATAATACTCTTGAAGGAATTTCTGTCAGATTTCTCACTTTGTACATATATTACGTCGATGTTCGATTAAAATTATTTATTAAAATTATTTAGAAAATAGAAGAAAGCAGATAATCGTTATAATGTTGAATCAACAGGATACATATGAGTGTAATGGAAAGAAATTTATTTTTAATTATAAATGAAGTCACTTTTCAATATCACTCGCCTTGGTCCCAATCTCACTATTATCATGCATTTATTATTATAAAAAATGTAATGAAGTATGATACATTGTCAGAGAAATCTTGATCACAGGATACTACACGTTTTCGACTGCAGAAGCAAATAAAACGAATTATTTATTATGCTGTAAATCTATTTTAACGTAATATAACAGAGAGATGGAGATATAGATATTATGCTTACCTTGGGTTTGTGATTTACAGCACCAGTGCTTTTTGTGCCGTTTTCTACTCCTTGTGGTTTCTTAGCCTTAAATATCTTGGACATTCTACCTCCTAATTTGAATAATTAAAATAACACAAATTATTTAAAAGTGACAAAGGATATACAATTTTTCTGTACAAAGTGATAGTTTCTAGTGGATCAAGGAGATAAGTACAATTCAAATATTTATAATTTTGTATTTTACATTATTTTAATGTTGAAATTCTTAAATTTTCGAATGCTAAAATTTTAGGGCCCAGTCCACCTTTTGGGAGGAGACTCACCCTGTCCCCTACCTCATTACGTCTATGATTGTCACTATTTACCAAATCTCCATAATCCCAAAATCAAGCAATACTACACACTTTATATTAAATGCAAAATTAGAAGACTAAATCCACCCCCCAAGGTATCAATTAATCCAGACCTGTCTAACCTGCTGCCCGCGGGCCACTCGTGGCACTTTCCCCTACCACGGTGGTTGCGTTCGGCTCCCCCCACTCTTTCAACATATGACGCGTATTCCTAGTCCTAGCAGATGTAGCATCTAGCGAGAAACCGCTGCCCCACTACTGACACTACTGGACGGTGGGGGAAGTCTGAAGCGGTAAGAATGGGAGCGGTGGCTCTTTCGCTTCTAGCAGTTAGACAGGCATGAATTAATCAATCAATTACTATTCTTTTAGTTTTCTTACCAGTTCTTGGCGCCGGTGATTGTACAACATCAGCATCGTCCTGAGCAATGTCATTATTCATCCTTTCTGCTTCAACAGTTTTCTCTTTGTCATCCTGCTTGTCGATTTCTATCGCGTCTTCTGTGTCTACTATCGATCTCGTCGACTTGGAACTCTTACTTTTCGCTGAAGATTTCATAGAACTCGACTCCTGTTTCTTCGTTGAAGATTTCATAGAACTCGTCTCCTGTTTCTTCACTTCATTGTCTTCCTTTGTTTCTGCCTCTTTCTCCGTGGTATCTTCTTTTCTCTCATCATCTTCCACCTTGTCATTTTCTTCTTCTTTTTCCATCGATGATGTTCTCTCACCGGATGTACTGTTCCCACTTCCAGGCTTTAATCTCGGTGGTTTTGGCGGTGGTGTGGAACTGGAAGGAGACATTTGTTTCTCAGCATTCGTCTTTTCTTTGTCATCATTAGTATCTTTCGATTCTATTTTTTCATTCATTGATTCTGGAATATCATTCTTCTCAGTATTTGACTTATTATCTATCGCAGTATCTTTTTCACTGATTTCTTTGTGATCTGCAGCATCATTCTCTGACATTTCATTATTGTTCTCTTTATTATTTTGTTCGGTATTAGTTTCTTCAGGAGTAGTCTCCTCTTTAATATTGTTCTCTTCATCTACTTTCGGTTCGACTTTTTTGTTTTCATTTATTGATTCGTGGTTTTCATTCTGTACTTTCGATTCCTTAGACTCTTCGGCGACTTCTGGCATTTCTTTTGATGCCCTTTCCGGTTCCATTTCATTTCCTGTGCTCTCTGATGTCTTCTGTTTTGTACCATTCGAAGATTCTTTCGGACTCTCCACTTTTTCGATGTTATTCATCGAATCTGTAACGCTGTTCATATTTTCCTCGTTATTCGTTACATTGTCTAATTCTGTTTTAATTGTTGATGGAAGATCAGTGTTTTCTGGATTTATTTGCGCTTTTATTGTATCCTCGTGAGGCTCTGTTTGCAATATATTTACAGGAAGCTTTAAAGGTGGAAGAGAATTTCTTTTCTGAACGTGTTCCTACAAATTAGAGAAAAGTTTCTGTTAATTGCAAAATAGTTGCATGACAATCTTTAATAATTTTGGTAACTATAATAGTTGTAGAAAATTCTCACAAAGTCTAAAATTAGAGAAAAGTTTCTGTTAATTGCAAAATAGTTGCATGACAATCTTTAATAATTTTGGTAACTATAATAGTTGTAGAAAATTCTCACAAAGTCTAAAATTCGTGAAAAAATAATTAGTTAAATTTTTAATCACCGTTTGTGAAGTTTCTTTATCTCTTTCTGCATAATTATCTGTTTCTCGCCTTTGGCCAACCAAAATTGTATGACAGCCACCGCATGCAACCTGCACAGGTTTTTCAAATCAAAGTCAAAAGAATGATTCTATATTTGTATAAATAAAACTGTTGTGCGGTTACCTTTGATACAAAGAGTTCTTTATATCGTTGAACGAAAGTTAGTTCGTGAACGTTGTTCTCGTTTTCTTCCAACCCTAATTTTCCGTGTCTTCCATCGCCACATGTGAAAAGTTTCCCAGACCCTGTCAAGAAAAACTAACGTTACGGAAGGAAATAGTAATTACACTGTCAAGTAAATTTGTTCTATTCATTTGTATTGTTTCTACTTGTCATAGTAAAAGAACAAGACAATTTTTCAATCTTCCAAAAAATTTGGTGAAATAATTTTTAATCCATTTTCTCAGAAATGTTATTATTATATCGAACCACGCACGACGTTTGCAGGGTTATTTTGACTCACCTACAGAAATAAAATATTCAAAATATAAGAAGTTAATTTGCAAAGCTTCCACAGACAATATATTTACACGTTGAAATATATTTTTAATTTTCTACACAATTTAGCCTTCAAATTTGAATGTAACGACGTTTTAATTTCAAGGGTTACTAATTTTCTTTAATTAATTAAAAGTAATTAATTTTGATGATTTATAAGCCAAACACAATTTGTAGATATTTTAAAATTTTTCAATAGTAAGTGAGTTTCAAATACTTTACTTTTCCCATTGTAAATTTAATTTTCAAAATTAATCAACTTTCTATTCGAAGTTACCAGTCACAATAGCTGTATGACTTTCTCCGCAAGAAATCCGACTGATTGTATCGTTTTGTAACATCCCACGTGATAGAAGCTTCGGTGTCTGAAGCTCCGTGACATTTGTTCCTAAACCGAGCTGTCCATTCGAATTACTTCCGGTACAATATACATTTCCGTTTTCTGTAAATTGTAAAAAAAAGTTATCGTAAACTCCTCTGTGTTCTACTTGTATCGTCAATTCTTTAAATAAGTGTAATTTAGATCAGAGAAACTGATTTGAACGCACCAACTAAAATAACTGTGTGGTGGCCACCGCACGCTACATGAACAGCAGGGCTAGGTAATTGCATCTGTTTCGGGGTAACTTGCGTGGAAAAATTGACATTGATCCCTAATTTTCCACTTTCTGACTCGCCACAGACGTAAACCGAACCGCTTTCTGAAAATATAATTCCGAGTTCGAAGAACAACTTTTAACACGGTGACACATTTTTCTTCCAACGTCACCGACTCGTTTAAATCCATTTTCTTTCTTATACTGTTTGCTATTCGGCTGCTATCAATTTTTCATCAAAACATCGTCGATAGTTAACGAAAAACCAATTAACCCTTTGTGGACAAATTGATAGCGCTTATCTATTTTAATTTTCAGCTGTAAGTAATATGTTAATGAAATTATTATTTAAGAAATCACCTGTTAAAAATGCAGAATGGTAATAACCGGCGCTAATTTGTTTTACAGGTTCGGGAATCTGCACTTTCGTTGGTTTGTTAACCAAACCGGAGACATCGGGCAAGCCCAATTGTCCTTCGAGATTACTGCCCCATGCAAACACACCCCCGTCGCTGATAAGAGCGAGGGAATGATGAGAACCGGCAGCAAGTTGAAGTATCTTTGATCCAGCCAATCCTGAATCGTATACCAATACAGGAGAACTTGAAAAATCACCGATAGCTGATGTTCCTCGACCTAGTTGGCCTTCTTGATCGGTGCCGCAGGCAAAAATCTTTTGCTCTCCTGAAACAATATTGTTTTGTGCTTTGGAATGAAGAAAAAACCTTCAGGTAGAGTGTAATTTTATATTCATTCCTTTCATCAGTTCGATGTACACATACAATGTATAAAATTATTATTTATGCTAATTTTTACTTTCTATTTTTAAATATTTATATGCTTAAAAAATGTAAAGTTAATCGAGAAACTATTTTCTTTCTTTTGGAATTAAAAGAAATGAATTTATTTAAATTACTTCATTACTTAATTAATTAATTAATTATCTCGGTATGTTAAGATAAAAGCTTTGGTAAATCCTTTTAGTATTCCCTTATAAAGCATTCAACGTTAATTGTAAAATTATTCGAAATCCTCTGTGACCTAGCTTTCTTAAACGAAATTCTAGTATGTATTAGGTGTACAAATTAATTCGGTGCCTTTAGTATTACGTCTTCTTAATTAATATTTTTTATTTGAATATTTTCTCGCGGTTTTGGACATTTGAAAAGTGACAAGACGACATAATAACAATAAAGATTATTTCAATAATTGGAATTATTATAGCTATTTAAAAATAAATCTTTAATTAAAATAAGGAAAAGGCATCGAATTAATTTGTACACCTAATATATGAAGCAGCTTCGAAATGTAAACAGACAATCCTATTCAATAATCCTCCGGTGTGGAGAATACAAAATCCAAGAAACATTGGCTGATCGGAATATTGTTATTGAAGAAGCTATTCACATAGGAGTGATGGAAACATACTATTTAATTCAGTTTATATCGGTCAACCGAGAGAGACGGATTTTCTAAATTCCTTCGGTGTTCTATCGAGAAATACCTTCAATTATTTGTTAATAAATTCAAGAAACGCGAACAGCGCAGTGTCTATTAAAAAACTTTTAAATGTATGCGTTTTAATTTACGTTGAAGAACATCAAGATTTGTCGAGTGCCATAACACTTAAACGTGGACTGGCTGCTGATCAGTATGGGTTGACCACGATGGATATTTCACCTGGTTGCACCATGGACGTTGCAAAGTATGTACACTCGTTTTATGATTTTTATTTCACTAATAATTTCGATTTGATAATTTTTAACAGTATTTAATACCTTAAGAATTGGCATCACAAAGCTATCGTTATTATTATTATTTAGATATAAATTTTTGTATTATGATGGTTTCGCGTAAGATGAACGTTAAACAATCCACAGAGCTATTCACCAGTACCTACACTTTAGCACTTCGAAATTAGAATAAAAAGGTTCGAATCATAGAGAAGTTTTTCAACATAGTTTAAACACAATCGTTATCGACGAACTGCGAGATAGAAGAGTGATAAGGGTTCTAAAATTGAAAGCGCATTAAAGTAATTAGCGATGTAAAATGAGGTTGACACGGAAAGCGATATGATGTAGCATTATGAGGGACAGATACAAATCTTTGGAGTAGGAAATGTGGTTGGGGCATGCTTAAAATATAACCGATGATTTTCCTTGCTTAAAAAACCACGTTATCAAATTCAGAATCTTATCGTACCAGACGTTTTGGTATTCAACGTACAAGTTCGCGAACACCAAGAATATATTATAGCTATTTACAAAATTACCTCTAATAAATCATGTTATCAATGATTAAAAGGCAGCACTAAAAAAAGAAATGTAAATTTATTTTTACATATATTAAGTATAATTTAAACAAATTTTTCCGATAACATCGTCTGTCTTAAATGTAAAATGGATATAAAATTAGAAGTTGAATGAATGATGCGATCAGAAAGTAGACGACATGTAATTGTATTTGTTTGATTATACAAATTACTCTAAGTAAGTGTATTTAATAAGGCTTTTAGTGTCAGTGCAACAGGAAGAGATAAAGTATGTCTTACCTGTGCAAATTAGTGTGTGTGCTCGTCCACACGCGACATGTGTGACCTTTTCCGGCTTCAGAACTGAAAATGAATAGGTTCTATTGTAAGAACGGATAGGAAATTTACGTAGGTTAGATGATTTTAATTACAGAAGTTAGATCGTGGCAGGTTCATAAAATTTCAAGGGAATATGGTAATATCAGACATGGTTAGACATAATTGCATTATATTAAAAAAATTATTATATCTTTCTGATTAATTGTAAATTAATTGGCCATTATTTGTTACAATTATGAGGTTTCAATTTAAAATAGAGTTGAACTTTTCATTTTATAAAATATAATATTATATAATATTTTATTTTAATGGAAATTGATTTCCAATTATTTGTTAAAATTATGATCTTTTAGAAATTTTTATTTTATAAAAACTTTAATAATTCTAATGTATAATATTTTTGGCCAAATATAGAACAGTTTTTTTCGAGCAAAACTAGGATTTTAAAAAGATTAGAACCGTAGAAATACGAACCTTTTACACAAGATGGTTTACTAATGTGGTTTCTATGACCAAGACCAAGCTGACCCCAATCATTGCTTCCAAAGACGAACAGTCTGCCGCTTTCTGAAAGGGGTAAAGGTACCAATTTCGTAAATTATACATTTCTCCATGTTTCTAACTACTTTAAAGTACAAATATTTATATAGTTCAAACATTATCTTAATTAAGATATTAATTTGAATTTGTTCAATTTTATTCTTCGTATACCACGAATTGATATTACAATAATTCTGTAAAACATTTTATTCAAGGAAACTGGAAGTTCACTATATTTAGATAGTTTCTGGAACTGTTGATAATAACAGTATGTCGACTCTGTTCGTATAGTTATGTATGTTAAGTGCTAGAACATTGCGTGGTCATATCGATTTACTGGACAGTGGCTATCCCTATGAAAGCACAGGTCGGCTATAACTTCTTCGCGAATCATGATACAGAAGCTGTAAATCATTGATCCTGGTTGTTTTACTTAGAAATCAACAAATCAATCGACCTTTAATCCTATGAATTATTCATGAAAAATTTGCTACCCCCACGATGTTTGTATATTTTCCATTGAAATTAGAACTTAAATCTGGATCATTTCATAATAAATTGAAGATAGATCAATTATTTGACAATTGTACTTACTTCATAGAAAGTTATAATTTTGAAACGAGTATAAAAATGTTATTGCAATAAAAAGGAAAAAAAAGAACGTGTTATAAAATCACATTATTCGTTGCCTTTTTATTGACAATAATTATAACGTGTAGTGAGATCTTTAGAGTCTATAAATCACGATACTGTCGTGAGTAACTCGTGTTATATACCCGAGGTTAAAATGAACCCAGTAAATATTGCTTAGAGGGTAAAAATAAGGTGAACTTGTAATGGATTTCATTCCCTTGTGAAACAGTGTTACAAAGGAATGAGAGAAAAATAAAAAAAAATACTTTCAGAAGATATTTTGCTAGAACCGGGTGTTTCAATAAATTACTCTATTTTAGCGTGTCTATTCGGGGACGTTCCCATATAAACACTTCACAAGATAATAAAGTATAACCACGTGCGGTATCATTGAAACGTGTACAGTCATTCACGTGTTCATTCATTGATTTCCTTTAAAATCAAGACCACTAGTAGACAAATCGATACGGTAACGCAGAAGATGTTAACTTAACGTTTAGTGTGTTCTGTGAAAGCTTTTATAGACAGGTGATATTATCTTTGACGTAGAAGTTAAATTCTTTCGATTTGAGATTATTGAGAAAAGCATAGTTTTGTTAGAAATAGCAAATATAATAAAACTATGATATCGTCGATCCAATGTCGAAGTCACGAATGTGCAAAAACATCATTTTGAGATATTGAGATTTGAAATTCAGAACTGGTATCATAAATCCATTTATATTGTTACTAAACCAGCTTCAAGTGCCATATATGAAATTATAAATTTTTATTAAAAATTTTGGATCTATCCTAGGAATATTTATAAGAATTCAAATCTTATCAGGATTTATAGCTAAATGTAGAGCTAAATGTATAGCTAAATATCTATAGAATCTATAGTTTGAGATAGATGATAGAAAATATAAATTACTTTGACATTTGACAATTTGCCATTGCATACGTGGGTATTTAGTCAATTTGTTAATTGGTAGATGCTCAGATTTTGGACCTATTACACAACTTCGCATTCGCTCCTTTGACAATGTGTGCTCCTTTTAAAATGTAATTTTATGGTAACATATTTCACTGAAAGGAGGCAAAAATATATATTCGTGACTTTGGCATTTTGATCGACGATATGTTCTATGTTCTATATCCATTGTTACGATATGACTATAGGTTTCTATAATACATACGACACTTGTAATTCACTTACGACAAATCACAGCAGAATGTTCGTCCCCGCATGTAATGCTAATTACAGGATCCTTTCGTATAAAGAAATGCGATGCAATGTTGTCTGCGAATCTGCTTCGACCGACCGTGAACACTGCACCCGATTCTGTAAAGTTATATAAATAATTTGTATTAGGTTTTTGTAATTTTTCATTTCGAATCAGACAATTAACATATTTGAATTTTTAACTCAAAGCAGAATATCCTTGAGGATTAATTATTATCCGAAATGGCAATAAATTATAACAAACCATGATATAATAATTCAATAGTAACATCTTATTGATTATTTATTATTTCTCTATCACTTTGAATAATTCTTGTCTGAAGGTTGCATTTCACAGCTCCACTTTGCTCAAAAAAGATAGTATCGTCCTTTAAAAACAATTATTCATCACGACAGACGTAGAAGTTACCTCCTATCGTATTTTAAGTTTAAATACAGCATATCTATTATCTCACAATATTCTTTAACGAGGAAATACAAAAAGCTCTAAATTTCCAATGATTTATTTAAGAAGGTTAACGCGATAACGTGCTATCGAAGGACGAATCGCGTCTTTTCTTTTTATATCTGGCACGAAATGGCGTTCGTGCGATCAAGAAGATGCGAGATAAATGTTCTCAACTTTAAAGAGGAAATTTCTTGCGGCCCTACACGCGGTATCTTTAAAATTCGGCAAAAATTACTGAACACAAGGGAGAGGGCGGAGTTGAATAGCCATTTAAAATTCAAATATCAGAACGAACCCTTCTTTAACTAGATCGTAGATAAACGGACCATTATGGGAATAACTTGAATCTAAAGCTGCTTTTGGCGAGTCGTGTCTGAAAAGCTAAGAGCTTGCTGCACGAGAGATTAAAAAGATGTGTCCAAAGCTTTTTCATGAAATAAAAATAGAATTGATATTGCTTTTTTTTTTGGTCTGCAAGAAGAGTCAAAATATGAATTCATAATTATAATTTCTTCAGCTCTTTTTCTTATAATAATTGCTCTGTGAGAAATTTAAAACACTTTACAAAGTTAATTTCCTTAATAGCGTGTTTTTTGCAAGTTATATTGTTTAAATGGTGAAAGATACGAAACAATGTCATTAAGAAAAATTAAGTAATGTTAAATGGAGTATCACTTAACGTATTTGCTGGTTCCGGAAATGGAAGCGTTTCAAAAATTTAAGCCTACTTTCACTTTTTTAAATGAAATTGTATATCATTCTAAATGTCATTTGGTGACATCTTATTATTTTCTACAAAAAGGTATTAACATAGTTTTGAGATCGTTATTGTTAAAGAGTGGAAAATTATTTCAGTATTAAATGAAAAAGTCTTCAGAATCATTTTAATATATTTATTTAAACTTTAGAAAGTAGAAAATACGAGATACATCAGGTTGATTCTCTGTTGCAAAAAGGGGTCTAATTGAACTTGATCACATTCCTAATTGTAAATTCAAAAGCAAGGACTTGATGTTTGATTTACCGCCACATATCGGTTGTTGAAAGCTACAATCATGGCTCAGTACAGTTTCAATGGCAGATGAATTTTTAAACAGGTGTGATCGTAGATACAAGGGTTTAGAAAGTCGCGATTATTAGAGAAGGTAATTGAAAACCGAGGTTTAAGCATCGAAATGACTGAATCAGTGATTAAGACCGTGTCAAGAGCGAACGATAATTTTAGTTTCACGTTTGCAAAGGTCAGTGATGCAGCAACTGGGTGTAAATCCTGCATGGCAGTTACGTTTATGTTCTTCTTATCAAAAGTTCAAACGTCCTACTTTTGCATAATTCATCACGCATTCATCTTTCAAGCATAGCCTGTTGTTCTTTATCTACGCTGACTTTAATTGCCAATTACGGTATCAAGAAAGGTCTCGAGGACCGAGCCTGCGAAAATTTACGCGTGCAGAAAGAACCCTGAACGAGCGGAAAAAACGTTGAATAGGTTGAAAGTTACATAGGTCGACGGTGACCCATTTGTTAGCGACATAGCTTTTCTTAATACTGAAGAGATTGATAAGAAAAGGGTTATGGATTTTTATTGAAGACAGCTGTTGGATCAATCAGGATTCTATGTCGAACGAAGAAATTCCTTGTTCGTTCCTTCTTATTCAGTAAGAAACTTTATATTCAAATTGTGCACTTTTCAATGAAGCTTCATCTTTCTAGAGTTTGGAACCTTGTGTCTTTTTCTATATTTATTAAACGACCATTTGCTGGATAACAATATATTAAAAAATGAATGTTTATCAGTTTTTCTCATTTTCTGAAGCCTTATCATAGAATGATTCTTAATCCTAATTCTGTAGAACTGTGTATTTCTCACTGAAGCTCTATGTTTCTAAGATCAGACCCTTGTCCCTTCATTTCTATATTTATTAAACGACTTTTTATTTATTAACAGTATATTAAAAAATAAATATTTGATGATTAGCTTTTCTCACTTTCTGAAGCTTTATCATAGAATGAATCTTAATCCTAGATCCATCTAATGTATTAATATAAACTTTGATTTCCCATTTGGAAATAGTGTTTCTATGCGGATACAACTACTAAATACAGCACAGTTATTATTCGAAATTGTTCAGTATACAATATGTCCCTATTTCGATACACGACATGCGAGATGGTAAATTCGCTATGCCGATAACATCGATGCGCTCATTTTCTAGTGGCTGCAACTGCGTCAGGTCGTTAACCCGGGGATGCATGGTTTAACAGTCATGAAAACGGATCAAAACGCCTCCGAATCCGATCAATTGCAATATTTAATTCAATGTCCCGTAAGCAGTTAATCCAATTCTGTAACGTGTACATTCTATCGTGATAACAATGTTCCTATCAGAACTTGCACTCCGATAACTTTGCATAAACCCGGATTAGCAAATGCGATTATCCGTGGTACGCAAGAAGTAGTAAAGAAGTTTAGAGCAACAAACATATATTTTTTTTTAAAGTAGAATGGCAAAAATATGTAAAGCAGAGTGCAATAGTTTGCGAGGAAATATCGATAAAAATGTCACTTTTTTGTTTTTTAGTCTTCGATAGTAGAGTATTAGAAAGGTTATTCTCGACATAACTTATGAAAAATTACATTCCATTCTAAACTCTGTGTGAAGTGCAAAAAATAATGAAGCAATAAGAGTGCAACAAATAATTAGGATCGGAAATGGTGCCATGCAGAAGCGACGCTATAGAATTGTTCCGTAATTAACGAGTTGACCATTAGAATAGAAATAGTCAATCCAAATAGAAATACAGATTAATGAAAATATTTCAAATTAAATTTTTAATACATTTTAATTTATTGTTTCAAATTGTTAGTGCAGTCTTACTAGCATTTAAAATTGTCTTAAAATTTTCATTTTTTAATTATTTGACAGTATCTGAAAAGAAAGTACTACCGTTTACTGGTTCTAATTTTTCTACTTCTGTTTAACTTAAAACAACTTATTCAACAGTTTCACGCAACAAAGTAAAATTTTATAGCTCGTGCCGAAGAATAATTTCCTTGCTACGTATACAGCGACCCCCATTGACGTAAAAATAACACAAATGAATATAATTACAGATAAATCTATTTTACACCAACATATGCGTAACGTATGTGCATAACTGTTTCATGCTATTTCATACTGTAATATATCAAAACCGTGCACTAGCTGTTGTATGTTTAAATAAAATAAGGGATATTTTGTGTTTCTGTTACGTGTAACAGTCGCTCCATAAAATTAAATTCTATTTTATTTATATTTTCATGCACTATATCACACACAATTCTTTTTTTTAAATTTGAATTTGATTTTAAATTACACGCGAAAAACCACTAAGTCATATCTACATAATTTCCTTTAAAATATTTCACAAATACAATTTAAAATAAATCCGTCTAACTACAAAATATAATAACAATTTAAAATTACTTTTTCCAAAACAGAAGAGAAGGAAAATAAAATGCGAACATTGTAAATTTAAAACGAACAACCGAATATGTCAAGGTAATAGTTTAAAAGCACCTTGAAACGAACAAAATCAAACCCACTGACAAAAATTATATTTTCTTTTCAAGCAAAATTTATTAAATTTATTGCAATTCCATGAAATCTAATACCGGTTCACCGGCGTCGTGCATCATCTACAAGAAGAAGAACAGCATCCGTAGGGAAAGTGTGCTCGAAAAAATAGCGTCGTTGCCAAAAAAAGGGGGGTTAATTGCAGAGGAATCGAGAGAGGTGCTTGATATCGTGCGATTTCACGAAAAGTTTACCGGGTATCGTTTCCAAGTCTGACAAGCCCATGCTTACACCTTGCGCCACGTAACTTGCAGTCGACTAACTGCCGGTCAGGCATGGCTTTCATGGTGGTAACTTAAACTGAACGTTGCCAGGCAACTGGAAATCAATTTCTAATGGCAACCACACGTCGGACTTGTGTGTTCCAACGATGAGAACGGGTTACGATCGTTTAGAAACATTGTGTTTTCGTGTGGACATTTTAAAACAATACTGGACGCGTTGCCTTTGCGTTCTTTCGCGTGTCATTCGGCTGTCATCCAATATTCAACGAACGTAGCTACATCGATGCACTCGTGATATCGAGCCGCATGTACACTTTTCTTTTATCAGGGAAACAGGAGTGTCGTGTTGCATTCTTTTCGTTTATTTGTTATTGATAAAATAAGAAACGAAAACAATGAGGTTCGTTTAATATTTGGTATGGAGGTTTGCTAGACGGATGGAGGGTGCTTAAGGTGTGAAGGGATGAAATGTTCCGCATTCATTGCACGCTCTTTTGTGGGCTTACGGATAGTGGATGACCCTTTTCAGTGATAAGGGATAGACGAAAATGGTCATTCCATTCCTTCTAGGAGATTGAAAAAGACGAAAGTTAAATTTGCAAAATTGATTCCTTCTGATTTGCTGAAGGTGAAAGTTGTAATCTTTTCAGGGGAAGGTTTCGATAGTTTCTGATCTTTTAAATATAAGTAATGAGAACGCGATTTTTCAAAAAATCAGAGCTTCAGTTAAAGTTTTATATATTAGCAAAAAAATATTGATCTATTCTGATAAATCAAAAGTATTGTATAAATCTTTACCTTTTCTGTAAAAATTCTGAAAACTAAAGTAATGATGGAAAAGAAAATTAATAAAAGAATCAAAGTAAAAATTCAATTATATATTAGTTTTTTCATAAATTAAAAATGATTAGTAATGTTACAAACAGTTTTACAAAATTCGATTTAATTAGTAAAACGATTTTATCTTATCTTTATTAAATCGTCGAAATTTGTCGTTAAATTAATTGTTTCATCGATATATCTGCTTGATGAAATAAAAGTTTAAAACTCCAAATCTAAAACAAATATTGATTAAAATATACTTTATCGACATAAGCGTGAAAGGAGGTTCTAGAAGAACGCGCAGAGTGCATCAGCATCGCTAACGTGCAAGAACGCGTGCAAATTGGTGTTGCTGTCAAGTTCAAGAAACAAGTGTTTATTTCTTTCCAAATTCTGTTTTTAAAAGGACAAGTAAGTGTTTTTCGTGTTGAAGACATTGTAGAGAATTAATAAAGTTATAAACAGTATTTATTATAATAACTGTGTATCGTATACTTGTATGCCTAACCTATATAGAAACGTTTTTGAACTTAAAACTTACGTTTTTATACGTTTTTATTTCCTTTCCATTGACAAAAATTGTAATGACATGAATCAATAAATAAAGGAAATTGCACTTTGTTTTTTAACCGAAATTTATAGAAAATAAAGTTTATGGACCAAAATATAATTTGTTATCTAGTATTCTGTACATAACCTTTATCATCCGTTGATCGAATAGTATTACGTCATTCTTGTTTTCTATACTTTTATTTTGTAAAATGCAATTTATATACGGCATTCAGTGTTGTGCAATGAAAATTTAATAATTTAACATTTATACTTTTCATTTCAATCAAGATTTATAACAGTATTAAAAGGTTAGGAAAATATTAACAGAGTCATTAGAGTATGAAAAATTATTAACCTTAATGTTGATTAATAACAAGTGGTCATTTCACTGTGCTACTTATATTAATATACTGACATGTGCCAGAAAGCTAATTGGCAACAGTTCAACTTCTCTTATTTGAATTAACACTTTGTAATTTTCTGTTGCAGGTGGTGCATAGTGTTCATTCAGATCTTTGTGAAATCAACAGATATTGACAATCAAAATGGCTGATTGTCAAGAACAAGAAAAACCTGATGATCCCATGAAGTTATATGAATTTGATGGTGAATCATATATTTATAAGGATCCTACAACTAATGTAACATATAGGTTTGATCAAGAGAAGAATGAATGGGTAGAGAAGAAAACTGAAGAAACAAAGGGCAATGATTCAAGCACTAACGAAGCTAAGCCTCAAGAAGGTGTATTTGGTTTTGAAAATGATACTCATACATACACAGATCCTAATGATGGCAGTGTATACTTTTGGGATAAGGAAAAAAATGCCTGGTTCCCAAAGGTGAGGTGTGTTTTTTTATTTGTCCTAAGTTTTTATCAAAAGATGTTTCATATGCTTAGGTGCAATTTGTAAATTTATTGTGAATAATATTTAACATACTTGCATATGATTCTGTTTCAGGTGGACGATGATTTCATGGCAAGATATCAAATGAGTTATGGATTTACTGATTCAAGTACAACAGAAACCAAACCTGTACAGCAACCTGAAACAAAAAAGGCAGAAAAGGAAAAAAGGAAAGTAGAAGCAAAAAGAAAAGCTCAAGAGCCACCAACTTGGTTTGAAGTGGACGAAGCACATAATACTGCCATTTATGTGTCTGGTCTACCATTGGATATCACTCTGCCTGAGCTCACAGAACTGTTCAGCAAATGTGGTCTAATCGCACGGGATGAGAAAGGAAAGGACAAGATCAAGTTGTACAGGGATTCAAATGGACAACCAAAGGGTGATGCTCTCTGTATCTACATAAAGGTAAGTGATTATTCATTCAGAATTTTATTGCTTCATAACTTTCATAGTTATGATTATTGTATTAAGTAAGATACAATTTTTCGACATTATGAAAATTTCCATTTTCATAACAAATGTATAAGATTAAGGTATCGTAATACATAACGCGAGTAGGTTGAAAATTAATTAATATTTTCGATGTGGAATATTAAATTCGGAGATAATTTTCTTTTTCTGCGAATTAAATAAAAAAAAGAAAGCCTATATGGTATAGTGAGGAGGATACCGTTATTATTTGTTAGAAAAGTACGTTTTATAATTATTGACATATAATTTTTATTGACGTAATGTACATTATATTAAATACTGAACAGAGATTTCGATAATCCTCATATTATCGTATTTACAAACAAAACAGTGCAAAACAAGTCGCACCAAGTTTACTCGTTACAAATATAGCTTAATTGTAAATAAAATCCGTGCCTTTTAGACAGTGTTAAACACATACGGATTAATAATTTTCAAATTCAAATATCATAATCTACTTAAATATAATTTAAGCATATCGCGTGACACGGGTTATACTATGCAACTGGGCTAAGTTATAGTCTTAACATCGTAGAAGATAGAAAATTATGTCATTAGGGAAAATTAAATGGCGTTGAGTTGGTTCCTGAAGTAGAGGCGTTCGAAAGATTTCAAGATCAATTTCGTTTTTTGTTTCTTTTTTTTATGGAATGATACATTTTTTTATATGTCAATCGAAGCGTCTTTTTATTCTCTACAAAAAAGTATTAAGGCACTTAAATCGAAAATTGATTAGTTTAAAAAATATCTTTGGAAGAGACTGCTAGGCTCTCCCTGTTTCTCTCTAAGATATCTTTTGAACTAATCAATTTTGGAACCAAGTACCTTAATAATTTTTTATAGAGAATAACATGATGCAGGATTTGACGTCGACAAAAGTACAGAATTAAAAAAAATAATTTCTCATTCAAGATAGCTTTTGAATTTATTAATTTTCGACCTAGGTACTTTAATACTTTTGTGTAGAGAATAAAAAAATGCACTGATTGACGTCAAAGAAGCTCACAGTTTCGAAATTTATTTTTTTTAAACGAAATTGCATTTGTTACATTGCATAGCTTAAACCATTTGCATGGGACATCCTGTGTTTCGGAAACATTTGGCTTACAATTAAAATAGAGTCTTATTAACTTAAATCCTGCAATATTTTACCGGTAAAAAAATCCTTTAATTCTATCGTACTTATTTATACATTATCGTTAAATTAAACCGTACAAAATAAAAAGTCTTGAAATTTTTATCGATATATTGACAGTATATACTAAATAACATGTGAAACATCAAATACAGTTTTCTGATTTAAGGTAATGTTAATATAGAATCAGTACACCGTTGATTGATAATGAAATGTGCTTGAAAATTTAAATATAATTACAGCTATCAATATTCAAGCAGTTTGACTATTTGTGATACATTACGACCTACGATGATTACATTACAACATTAAATATTCAAATGTCGCGAAAATGAAACTTTAAAATTAAACATATTGTTTTATATTAAAAAAAAAAAGTGAAAGGGAAGACATTTATTTAAGAAAAATTTATTCTTTATGAATGATTTTTCATGGAATAGAAATAAATTAACTAAAGGAAAGATAAAAGAAACATTATTTTCAATGTTGTCTTTCGTTAGAAATTTCTTCTCATAAATGTCTTCGAACCACCTACATTTAGTTGCAAGTGAAAATTAGTTTCGGAAATTAAATAAACGTGAAGTTTCAATGAAATCTAAATGTAGGTACTTATAAGCAATGTATGAACATGGATATAATCATTAAATCGAGGTAACATTACGAACTAAACAAATATATTCCCAAAAATCTAATGCCTATTTAGAGAGAGGAACATGAAAGAATGTTTCGCCAATGTTAAATAAGCAAATTATTTCAGTCTGTGTTCGGTTTCGAAAGTTCAAATTTCAATTTCCGCAAAGTGGAAACGAAATGACGATTGATCCTTTAATAGATTAGTTAACATGTTGCATGCCCTGTTGGTCGCTAATGACCGATCAATATTAATAATAACGTTTAAATGAAATAAGTGGTAATATTGTAAAATTTTCAGTATTTTTGATATTACAATATTGATGTAACGTAGCCAATGCATTATAGTGCACTTAAGATGTGTTGCATTAAATGCATTTTTGTGTAAGGATCATTGCAGACCCACGGTAAAAGAAATTCATCTACTATAATAATATTATGCAACTTAATTTTTTTTATATGATATTTTGATTAGTCCGGTGATCATGGTCCATTGGCAAATTCATAGGCAAACGCAACGTATGGCGAAACGTACTTAAGATAGAAATTTCAAGTGGTTATAATCGATAACATTTAAAGCTATCAAATAAAGAGTTCAATTAAATATCCTGAACGTTGGTAGCGTATTTGCTCAAGGTTTTATCAGAACTTCTTCACTCGCCAGTTCGTTCATTTTGCCAGAGTATTGAGAGAAGGTTTTGCCTAGGTCTGTTAGGCTTTGTGGATACCGACTGTTGGCTCCGTTAGCCAAAAATGCACTGTATTCTGGTCCTTGGGGCACGACTTGTGACACTTTTGGATAATTCGCTTGAGTTCTATTCGAGTGATGCCGCAATCGGTTCTTCGGGTGTCCCATTCTCAGGCTGTAATTATAAAGTCAGTAAAAATGATATCGTTAACTAAATGCTGATAAAAATCCTCCTATTTATTATATTTTTCGAAGTTGATTTAATTTTGGTTTCGAAGGAAAACAAAAATTTGCTTAAGAAATCTTACTTGGACGGTGGCATTGAACCCAATTTAACACCGTGCACCCAATAGTTGTTCGCATTCTGTTCCACAAAATTCTTTCTCCATGATCGCTGTTTGTTCTGTTTGGTCGGCTTACGCGGTTCTTTCGAGTACTTCTTGCCCTTCTTTCGGGGCTTTAATCTTTGGTTTTGCGGCGCGAAAGGATCAGTCGTCTTTTTGCGTCTTCTAGCTACATTTTAAAGAAGACATTATATTATTTTAAAAATTATTTATAGAATTGAAATCAGGAACAGATTTGTTATTTGTTCTTTGATTAATATACCGGAATAATATTGGAATTTTTAAATTGTTCGTGTGGCTCTTAGGAATTATTATGAGAAAAAATTTAATTATTAAATTACCTATGCGGCCAGCTTCCACTTCGCATATATAATGTTTTCGTTCGACGCAACTTCGTGGACTCCATTTATATTTTAGAGCGGGATCGATCGTGATACAGTGCCAGGCGTATTGTTGTTTAGATTGTTCAGTTTGTGGTCTGCCGAAATTTCGAAAGACCACTTTTTCACCGGTTACTCCCCATTCCCACGCCATTTGTTGCCAGTTAAATATTCCACCGATCCATCTTTCTAATTCGGCTAGAAAAATAATTAACTGTGTTCTGAATAATTTTCTCCTGTTTATATTTTTATAACGATTCAAAAAAAATTATAAAAATATAGGCTTATTGAATTTAGATTTAATAATATTATTATACATTTGAAATGTTACTTACTGAACTGGTCGCTCATCAAATATTTCCTTAGCATTCTGTCCTTTCCATTTCTGTCGAGGATCGCCAGGGTGGCGTTTCTATCTTTGCAGTGAAAGTATGCATCCCTCCAGGGTGCCGTGCCTCCGCTTAAATAATAGCAATATCTTTTCAATCGAAAGAATCCTATGGGACATGCGTAACGCCTTATATTCTCGTTTTGCCGGCCGATCCTACGCCGGTTCTCCACCGTATGATTAATACTGACATTGTAGGATTGTACCACCACGGCCGACATGCCTGTAAAATTGTGGAAAATATTCAAAGATTAGATTTTCAAATTTATAGTAGAATGCAATAAATTTAGGTAGATAGTTATTTGCTTAAATTACATTAGGTCCTCTAGTTTTAAATCTAAACAATCTTAGATATTGTCTCTTGAAGGTAGGCTTGAGAAAAATATTAAATTCTTTTCTATAGAATTATGTACTAAAGTTTAAAAATAATATGTTATATTTTTAATCATTTCTCGAACTTTTAACTAGGGCGGTTTTGAAACAAAATATGAATATTCTAAATTTAATAATTTCCAATGTAGCAGTATCACTTTAATATAAAAAATCTTTTAAAATATCCCTTTTCATATGTGCCATTCTATAACAATCTAGAGCAAATATTTTTAACTGTAATATAAAACTACCGTGGATACATTATTTCTGTTTTAAAAATAACTTTAATACATGAGTTTCATGTTAGAGTTTCCATGATGTACATTAAACAAATGTTTCTCGTTTATGCACTTTTTATTTCTTCATAAAATAAATGCCCGCGGCGAATGTAGGTAGAAACACACGACGGGTAACAATTTATTACATCATGCGTCTGCATACTACAATATGCAACGAGACTAAAGTAGTTCAGTGTTACGGTCGTTCTCTCGCACGCAATAATTTCTTTCATCTGGTGGCTCTCCTTTTATGGAAGCAATTGAAGGAAATCGAACAATATGTCCTCTACAGGACTCCTAGGATGTTCGTCCCGAATGGATTCATTTATTTCTTATCCTTGAACGCCATTTAAGGATTATGTAATTGTGCACGTGTGTATACATCTATGTCCTTTACGGACGAACAATTGCAAATGTAGTGTTGCAAATAGTACATAAAATTGAGCATTGTTACGTGGGTTGATGCTTATAATCATTATTATTGTAACTATAGTTTCATATTCATGCAGATGTTTCTCAAGATAATTTTCTTAGAAGTATAAAGTGAAATAGAAATATTTATATAAAATATGTATTATTTTTTTTTTTTTTACTGTCTATCACTATCATTTGTACTAATTACTTTTTTATTTTTTTATTTTTTTTTAAAAAGATTTTTATCTAGTATTGTATTTCATTCTCAGGTTTCTAAACTATTTGCTTTAGAAATAATTCAATGAACTTTCACAGGAAGTACAACCTTACTTATCATAAGTTATCTTTATTGTACCTCTATATCGTAGCTAAGTAGTCCTTATTTATTCGTAGCCTACTCTGCTGTTTGAATTAATAACAGTAGGTACTATACATTACAAACCCTCGAATGGCAGAGTGGGTTGTTCGTGACCCAGGCTTATGAAACGTGTAGATACAACAGTGCTTCGAGTAAAATTACGAGCTGAAATTTTTAAAAGAAAAGCCTTTGTGCATCAGAAAAAAGAGAATCCAAAATTTAGATAATGTAAATGAAAAAAGAGTTCAAAATTAAAATTAAAATTCTCACTGATCGTTAGTCACCCATCTACGGTTTTAATTTTAATTTTAAATACATACAGTATAATAGCAGCTGGTGATAGTAATATCGTAACAGTAATAGAAGCGAGGGTAAAGATGATAATAACAGAAAGGAACGATCATATTGCTCTAAAACAGATTCATCGTGAACGTTTAAGGTTTTTGCCACGTTCGTTCTCGAGAGTTAACGCGAATTAAACTTCCGTGTAACGTGAAGTGTTCCTAACCCAGTTCAATGCGTTTGATGTTGCTGCGAAGCCTGAATGATATCATCCGAGAAAGTTACGCGATGCATCGACTGCACTGGTGTTGCATTCGTGCATGGTAATTGCCCTGCTGGAAATGTGAAGTGCCGATTACACCGTATATCTTCCTCTTTCGTCGTTTATTACCGAACTCAAGGGAATACCAACACGAGAAAATAGGTTACCAATTGATTGAGCTGTTTTCATCAATCTCACAGTAGCCTCTTCATCTGTTCAAATTTATTCAAAAATTTCCACTATAATTTGAATTTTTTAGAATTTAAAAATTCTCATAAATTGTATATCGCATTACGGCGCGTATTATTGTTCTAATTAGTAAATTAGTTAATTAATAAAGACAGGGGTGGCTAAGGGTGTCACGCCACACATTAATTATTTGGAGCAAAATTAATTTAGAGATTTTCAACTGGAATTTTAATATGAATTCTTTTTTGCTCTCATCTAAGATTCAAAATTATCATAAGGATTGAAAAGAAATAAAGATATTAGAAACACGTAACAAAGGATCAATTTATAAAAAATTATCAGGTGACATTTTTATTCATTCGTGTCTTGAATTGTACAATAATAAGTAAATAAAAACTTTATTCTGGATGATTAAAATTATAATTTGCCTTTCTACACAGATCACTTTTATCGTGGCATGTAACGTGTTACATAAATTATTTTTCCAAGTAATCTTTGATCCGAGTTATTTAAGGTTGCATTTTTCTTATTATAGAAACTTTTATCCCCGCGTTTCAAAGTATACGATGGCATCCCGTTTGAATTCACAACGAGCCGTCTTCAAAGAATTATCCACGACGAAACTACTTGCAATGTTCTTAACTTGTTCGCGTCAATAACGATTTTCCTCGCGGAACAAAGCCGATTTCCCGAGAATTGAAGTTCACAGGGGAGAACCGTGCCCGTGGAAATTTGCACTCGTTGAAAAGCGTACGATGGCTCGTTCTCTTCTATGTGAATCGTAAACGATAGCCATTACGAGCGTTAGCTTTATCTTTCCGCGTATTCATTCGCGATCGTGTCGAATGTAGACTGGTCGTTATTTTTGCGCTCATTTTCCAGACATTCAATGGGATATATCCTCTTTTCAGATGATACCATGTGCAAATTGTCTTTTAGTTCGTGGCTGATTGTGACAAACGAACGAGCCATCGATTAATTGAAGCAAAAGTCTGGCTGCTTTCAGTCATGCGTTTCGATGAAAAACCTTAACTTTAACGGGCCTGGATTTGCATTCTGTTTGCGCATAAATTGGACATTTCTACCTTAGTCACTGTTCCACGTTTTCTTCGATACTAGTTTTTCCAAATGATATTTCTCAGCTTGTTGAATATTTATCGTTAGGCTATCAGTTCTCTTTATTTACCTTATTTATGTGCATACCTTAAACGAGGAAAAATGCTTATTTTATTGGAACGTAAAGTAGATCGAATTGAAAGGATTTAGTTTGAATTATTAAATTTTCGTTCATTTTATACAGCATTGGTGAAGTTATTTTTTTAAATTCCTCTGTAAAATCGTATAAAGTAGTAGTGTTTCATTTTTGACATAATAATTGAGAGCAGAACTAATGTGATAGAACTAATTATCAGAATTTAAAGACTTGTATAGATCAGCTGTGTGATTTTGTGTTTAAAGTAATTTTCAAAATATTTCATGATAATCGCATGAAAAAACAATATGCGTTTCTTTATAAAAATTATACAATTTTTATTTATTGATTTTTAATTATCTGCTGTTTTCTTAGGAGAAGTATTCAGTATGGCATTCCATTCTTTTAAGTAATCTCAAGAATTCTCAATTAAGTGAAATAATTATAAGTATAGTGTGTTCTACTGCGCTTCGCTTTATCATATTTCATACATTTTTTTTTTTACATGTTGAAGATTTATGATAATCCCACGTTGAATATGTTTATCAGCATCATATTGAGCAATAGCATATTTTTTAATTAAGGTGTGTACATTACATTTTTAGAGAATCAATCTAAATAATTTTCATTTTTATTAAAAGATGTATTTTTTAACGTTTTAAAGATTTCTAGAAATATAATTAAATTAAAAAAATATGAAATATCTCAAATTTAGAAATACTATATATTTCATTCCTTATAATAAATCTCTTTATAACATCTCTCATAATAAATTATTAAATATCTTGAATTTAGAAATATTATTAAATCACCCTTTTATTTCTATTTAAAAAATGTTGTGAGCAGAGTACCCCATTATTGAAATTGAGTTAGAACACGCAATCAATTTATAACTGGCTTAATTAATTATGGTAATTAAACATAAATCAACTACTCCAAATTCACCATCATTTCCTCTTAAAATATTACGAAAATTAATATTACCACCTGAACTCATTAGGCTTTTTTGCAAAAATTCAACAATACAACAGTGTCTGGTAGAAATGTTATCTTAATCACGCGACGGCTCGACGTAGTGCTATTCCTTATCTGCTATCAGTATTCGTGTATCAGCGAAAATTTGCGATGCAGAGTTACGTCAAGTTGTATCAACAGACTTTCAAATCTGCTGGCATATTTAAATATCGATAGATATTGACGGTGCGTGTTCCCAGATATTCGCGATTTGACAACGTGTAGTAGGTGCACGGTGAACTTTGATAATTAACTTGTATCAGTCTAGACGTTGGCGATAATTAATATTCAAATATGACAGAGATTCCTGCATTTAGGTCTGGTCAGTTGCAAGATATCTTCGTTGCGTAGGATTCACGCGTATTTATATTCAAGGTGCATTAATATAAATAATATTTGTGTCCACAGTTCTTTCTTAATATGTTTTTTTATCTGTTGGGTTCTCATTGATGAACTTCTTGAATTTTTTCACGCTTCATTCTATGATTCAATTGTTACCCTAGTACTCTGTTTTTGAAACTCTGCATAAGTATATATGTAGGTGCACGGTTTCTTTAATGTCTACACGGGTTAACTAATTTTACTGCTGAGTTTGCCTCTTTAGTTCCTTGGAAGTTGGTACGTCAGAGAGTTCAGGTGTACGAAATTTGTTAAGCATTGTAGTCGTTCCCATGACACTATGGATTATTGGATTTTCAGTTATCGAATTCTGTAGCGGTGACACATTTTTAGAATCATTATTTGACGAGCTATGTATTATTTTATACTCTTAATAATGGCGATTGCAGATTCTATTTTTAAATCAGATTTCAATACGTCTACCCACGGTTTTTAATTGAGTTCACGAGGTTCATGCAGCATGTGCTTTAATGTTTTACATTACTATTAATAATTCATTTTCGTGCTGCATACTTTACTGTGGGCAATCAACAAGTGTTTTGCATGCATTTTTCTAGTGTGTTTTTAAAACATCAAATATATGATTTGTCACTGGAAACTGCTACTACATTAAAAAAAGAAAAAGACAATTTGGTAATTTTAGGCAATTTCTTAAAATAGCAAGTAGAAACTTCAACGTATGTTCTCATTGTGTAATCAATTAAAATAATTTTCTTTAATTTTCTGTACAAAATGATTTTGCTTTTCCAAACGTAAAAATTTCTACCTGTCCCTTTTGAAAGTGAATTCATATCATAGGTTTTTCATATATTTTTTTAATTACTCATGTAACAGTTTTCCTTGATTAATGAGGAAAATGTATAACGATAGATATGTACTTTATTCTTCATTATTAATCACTGTAGAAATTTATCTATGTTAAGGACAATGAACACTTAATGTGTTTCTTCAAATTTTAATTACAACATGATAGTCATTACTTTTTCATGTAATATTATTTGGAAACTTAATACCCATTTATATTATTTTTAATTAGAAATAATTGTATTCTAATACAAAATTATTATTTCAGATTATAAATTAAAAAATAGAAAACTACGTTTTGATATTATTCTAAGAATATTGAAATAAATTTGTTGGAAACACTTTTCTTATGCAGGATCGAGAACTAGGTAATAAACTTCGGAATTTATAAGAATAGTTTTTATCAGCAGATAATCTCAAATCTTTGTGGAGAATGATATATGTATCTTTCTGAGTATAGTGTAAAATTACATGCAAATTTTCTTGTAATACTGAGTGTTTTGAAATAATAATAGATATTTTATAACTGAGATAAGAAATTCCTGGTATCTTGAACTGTCGGTAGTAAATTACCTCAGGGATTATAGAATGATCAAGCAATTTCTTCTTATTCAAATACCGAAAAGAATGTTGATTTTATTCAACAAAACTTTCCTTTGAAATTAGAATGTTACACAGTATTGCTTCTTCGGATAATCAATGTAATATTTGCAAATCGTAGTCGAGCATTAAGCAATCTAATCTCAAGAAATTATTGACTTCATTCATTAAGTCGATCTAATTATACTTGGTGTAGGTCGTATATATGAATCTTTTAATACTATTATCGTTCGTATTTATGACTTCATTTTATGACGTTTGAAACATGTCCTGTTTTTTCAAATTTTGAAGTAATTTATTTCTAAAGAACATTAGACAGAAATATTAAGGGAACATAATTTTTATTTTAGCAGAGTTTAAAGCAATTTCGAATGAGATGCTTGTTAACTTAATTATTTTTACTGGATAATTTTGATGGTGAAAATTATTATTGGTTACGCTATTTTTGTGACACATTTGTGATCCCATTTAATACCGTTGTATTTGGTCTCCGTACAGATTCGTGTACCCTCTAACAAAAATAGATGGCCGATCTATTCACTTTGGACTTCTGGGTATCCAATAGTTATGTAGCCTTATTTTTTACTAATCCTATGTGAGATTACATAATAATAAACGTTTCGATTCTAATTCATTAATAATTTATCGTTTTGATTCAATAAAGAAGTTGCATATATTTCTTTAACTTTATAAAAATAAATTTTCGTTCGTTTTATATTCGAACAGAAACAAATTATTGTTGGAGAGTAATTTATTTATCGAACAGAAGAATAATCCTTAAAGAAAGATTTATTTTCCGCAAAATGCGATCCAATAAATATGGAAATTTTCTTGCGGGGCAATAAAAATTAAATTATCTCCTTGAAGATAATTGCAAAACTTACGTAACAATATTTATTAATGTTATATTTATTCCAGTAAAATTTACCATTAGTGTTTTTCCTTTATTTATACAGGCGAGACTAACGGTTGCTTCAATTTTACATGCATAAATTAATCGATGATATGTAAATTGTTTGACTTTCGGCTACCTGGTTAAATATCGGTCAAATACGATATCGATTATATCGGTCAAATACTATATCGATTACATCGGTCAAATACGATATCGATTATATCATCGTCTCCTTTTCGTTATCTCAAGAGTTCTGAACAATTCGTGTCTGAAGACACGAATCTAAAGTTGCCTTATCAACACGCCTGGTTTCTCCTACGAGAGTGATTAGCCACGATTACTTCTACTGTACTAATTACCGGTGCGTGCAACTACCGATAAATATATTACTTTGCTTTCAATTATTGTTTAAACGATATTGTTTTATTATAAATTTTATTTCTGTGCAGATAATAGAAAAATATAGTGTAAAAAAAAAATTCAAAATAGAAAAATAAATAAATAAGTAAAGGCAAGGCAAATAAAAAAAAGTTTATCATTTAAATCTGTCAGTTTGACACATTTGATCATTCTAATGTTAATTCTAATTTTATAGTGATAGAAAAGTATGATAAATTGAAAATAAAATAAATCAGTAAAATTCATCGAGAGAATTAATATTCTCATTTTTAACACCAACATAATTTCTCAAGGAAGAGAGTAAACGAACATTTTTCGCTACTTTCTGTTGACACTAGCAATCATTTATAATTATTAAATTCACTCGGAGCAGTTTATTTTATATTTTACTTCCGAAAGGATGGAACTTGCCAATCTGATAATTAGCTACCTTTCTCGTGGCGGTTGTTTTCAAAGCTGCTATCAAAAGATTTCATTTCAAAGCACTCTCACAAACGACACGTTGTAAATGCACCTACGCGAAATTAATTTCCAGGATGGAAAAAGAAGTTTTTTTTTTTTTTTTTTTCATTTCGCTCTTCACTCACGAAATTCGACTTGTCAACGCCAGAGAATCTCGATCCGAGTGGATCAAACCGAAAGTAATGAAACTCTGACAAGAATCAAGGTTAACAAAAAGAAAAAATGGTTTATGAAATCCACCTTCCATCATTCACATTCGATCTGCCCGATTTCGATGATAGTTTCGAATTACCTGCGGCACAGAGAATCAGGAACAAACACCCCCGCATGATTTCCACCTGTTCAGTCGATGATTTACTCGCCGCAGTGGTCGGTGCACAGATAAAAACGAGGGTACAGAATCGTCCTCATCCTCGTTCACCAGTTACACTTTGATCCATGTATCGATAGATTTCCTTTTTTTTATATTCGATCAATTGAATTAATTCACAGATTAACTCGGATCTTAGAACAGATATCTTTCGATCACTCTTTAACGATGTTCTCTCGTATGTTCGCGATCTGTCGGCCTCGTTACGCACGATTGCAAGCGGACGAACGCGGGTAGAAACTTCCACGGTGGAGGCTCGCGAGCGACTGAAACCGCCGCTTCCATTCCGCTCCTCGTCAAGGTACGAGCGGAGCTTTCGATCCGGACCCGTGCTTCCCCCGTGTGCCGCATACTTTCTCGATCTGCTGGCATTTTTCAGGGTCCTCTCCTGGTCAGATGCGCCCTGCCTTCGTTTCGTTTTTCGTTTGTCAAACGTCCGACCCGGTGTTCCCGACACTCGAAGCCCAAAGAATTTTTTTCGTGAATTCGCTCAGTCGTCTGAAAATTGAAACGTTTCATCCCGAAATTCTCGCGGAGATCACGGAGTGTATGGATCACTTTGAGAGACAGTGACATTTGATGCGATCCTTTTGTGAATGCTCTCTGATTGTCCTCCATTTCAGATTGTTGAAGTACTTGCTCTCTCTCTCTCTCTCTCTCTTTTTTAATACAGTTATATGAATCAATCTACTTTTTGGCTTAGAATGTTCTGATACATTTTGTATTCCTTTCTTATATTTAGAAGAAAAGTATTTCATGATTGGGGCTAATGGAAATTAGATGGCGCGTTAATTGGCTCAGTGGAAAATTTGAAATTTCAATTATTAATGATATCGATAATTAATTTTCAAATTTAATACTTTTGCTGTTTGTAGGATTTATGACTCCTATAATTTTATTATTAATAAGAATTTAATTTCTTATCTCGTTTTTGATTTCTTTGGTTTTATTTATCAAAGCACATAGGTATTTCAATAATCTCTCCTCGATAAATTTGGATTTAGAGGATTAGAAAAGTTTAATAAAAGTTGGTTGCAATAAATCCAACAAGCAAAAGTGTTCAGGAACATGTGTAATGAATTGTATTTTAAAAGTTTCAGTCGAGAAACAGTTAAAACCACGATACGAAAATTATTTATGATTTCAACTGACGTTTTTCGGTCTCACAAAAATACACGTGTCCGGAAGAAATATTATTTCCATTAGAAAACGTTCCTATGTAGTTCTATCAGAAAAGTTAATGGAATATCGTTGTATGATGTATTTACATCGATACAATAGCGAGGACATCATTATTGCCTCATGATTTAACATCAGGTATAGGAAAATAATCAATGTTACGCGAATTGTATAAAATTTATTTCCCATAATAATAATTTAATGGAAATTTGTTTTCTTAACACTTTGATGAGTACTAAATTTATGAACTAATACATTTTATAATTTTAGATTTTGTTTTTTAATATTGAAAGGAACATTGCTGCAAGAATTATGTTTAATAGCTTTAATAGTGTATGTCACAAAATTCCACATTTGCAATATGATAAATATAAAATATAAAATTTGAATAAATACGTGAGACAGCAAATAGAATTTAATTTGCTTAGCAAATGTAAATAACCTAAAGAGTGTTAACTTAACTCTTTGAAGACGAATTTTTAATATTCATGTTTTTCTTGACTTTTATACATTTTCAGAAGTATAATCGGAGGGCTGACTAGGTTTTTCTAAAATTAAAGAATTAGAAAATTAAGAAATTCTAAAATTGTAATATCCTAAGGAGGTTTTAAAGGGTTAAAAAGTTACAAATTTCACTTTGCTCAAAGTTCAGTGACTAATAGAAGTGTAAAGTTCCAGTTAAATAGGCACAGCATTACGATCAATGAAAAAGGCAGAACTATGTTTATCCTATTTTATTGGCACAGTATTAACGATTTGTTACTGTTTTCACGCTGAATATTTTTCTCTTCATCTTCTTTAAAAAAGATGGCATGGATTATTTTGATCCTTCTATCGTATGAGGATGAACAGTTCTACCGTTCTATTTTCAATCTTCTCGCGATAGTCTATTTTCATAAAGAATATTCATTTCGTTTCGTTTCTGCTTCTCCGTATAATAGGGTAGATGATATTGATTCTCCAGTTGGTTATGAACTAATAAACTTCCAATTTTTATGCGAGAATACTCATTTCATTTTTGTTTTCTACCTTCATTTTTTCTCAAATTAATATAACGATAAATAGTTTTGTTTGTTTAAATTATAGCGGAAATAAAACACATATGAGAGTATGAATGAATCTTGTTTTGAATGCTATTATTAAAAGTTTTAATTACAGAAAATCACAATTAAACAAGTTGAGGTACCGGTCATTCACGGCCACCGTAACAGTAAATGCGTTAAAATTTGATATTTATACGTTTATATTATTGGCTAAAAAAGTACAGAACCATCGTTTGAATAAACGAGGAGTATTGCAAGGAATTGTTTGCATCTAAAATTGCAGCCGTTCTTTGCAGCTACATTTCTGTACCAACGAACAATTTCTTCTATTATTTCTTTCGGTTTAATCATACAGAAGGTACATCCCCTTTCTATTGCGTGATACATCGTACGCGTACAAGTACTTTTCTCGGATCGTTAATATTCCCATGCAGTTAGTAAGCAAACATTACCGTTTGGTAATAGTCGACAGTTTCCATGTTTCCGACTCGTTTCTTCTTAACAACTTTTTTCGAGTTCACCTGGATTTCACATGCGAAATGTATTCCTGGAGATTTGTCACGCGTCCCCTGCTGAACAGTGAGTTTTCTTTTCTGGAATACGAGTACCACTAATTAGCGTATCGTTCCCGTTGAACAGCCTGCAGTTTTTCGAAGCGTGTTTAAAAAACCGAGTCATTTTCGAAGTAAAATAATCCTCTACGTTTATAAATGTAAAAAATACATTGAGATAGAAGATAATTGTCTGCGATTTTTTATTCCATTGAAAGATTCCTTTCCTAGGTTGTTCATTTCTGCATTTAAAAGCTTGCTTATTGCAGAGAAAGTAATAGGAAGGGAACTTATTTCTCAATATTTTTTATTCTAATAGAAATTAATATCTACATTTGACGAGTTTTTAAGAAAAAAAAGAAGAATTTAGTTACTGTAAAATTTTTTGAAAGAGATAATACGTCTTCTTCATTTACAAATGTAGCAGGTCATTAATCAAAGGAATCATTTTATACGACAAGAACTTCAATTTGCCATGTTATACATTAGTAGTAATTAAAATATCGTTAAAATATGATGAAAGTTGTCAGCGACGGAGATTTATGTAACGATAAACAGGTGATCGGATGATTCAGAAAAACGAATTTGAAACGATGATAAATAAGCATTTCTCCGATGATAGAAAACGTAATAGTGATTTCATTCGTTCTCAGTGATCGTGGGTAGGTTGAACGTTGCGTCACTGAGATCATAATTGAATACGAAAGAAGTTCAAATGGCTTGGTTTGGCATTTACCATCAGTCAAGGATGCGTGAATTTGAAATTGTAATCGTGATCGTTGGATAGCCTCAGTGATACCTGACTTCATTCGGGCTATCGTAAATAAATGATGACCGTGTAAGTTTCATGATCACCATTTATGTAAGTGAATTATAGCGATACGCTGGTTGCATAATTTTCGATGGATCAAGAATTTCTGGATTTTAACGATTCCAGAGCATTTTAATTACTGTGCCGACCGAAGAGCTTGTGAACGTTAAACATCTTACGGGTTCAACGAAACATTTCCGCGTTATGGTTCTTGGAAATTCTCTGGGCTTTTTAAATTTGATATTCAAGCAAAAGATGGGAATGTGTACTTTATTTATTTATTGTTACATCTTCCGTTGGAAGGATATGTATTTCCATTTGTACAAATTGTTCTTATATCATCATGATGATTGTTTGAAGATTTAATTATTATGCAATTTTCTTCTTTATGTAATATAATCAGTTGAATTATCATATTACATTTTTGGAAAAATAAAAAGGATATTTTTAGAGGGGGACCTAGGAGCTTGGAATTTTCCGTACATGTTTCTTCAGGTTTTAAGAAAGCACAGTGAAATTTTTAAATTGAATTAATTTAATTAAAATAGGGTTGAATTTGAGTGGTGCTCTCACCTAGAATAACCGAAAGTATCAATGCATCATTGGAAACTGAATAAACTAAAAATAAATATAGCGGTGAAATTTAATTGCCGGAATCACGTGTTAAGGTCAATCAATTTACTTAAGGAAACGGTTATATAAAGCAGATGCAAATAATATTAGCCTTGCTTGATTTAATTGCACACTGAACAAAGTGTAATCATGTAGATACTAATCCTTATCAATGTTCTTTTAAGAAAAATATCATGATTGATGAATATTTAATGATCGCCGTGTGCTATCAAGATGTACCAAAGTTCATGACAAATTCTTTAATTCAACCTCGAAAAACATGATTAATTTGATAGACAATACAGGTTTTCATATTACCTGCTGCGAACCGTAAATCTTCGAATCAGCCTCTCAGCTGTTTAAACGAATACTTATGAAATTTTGGTACGTTGACATAATTGGACTTCTTTACCATTAAAGGGGTATAAAAAAATTCATGAAATTTGAATTATAAACTCGATTTATTTTACAGCTTACACGTAGTCAGGTATTTTTCATTCTTAGACACGTGCGAACAGCTATTTTCATTCTTCTTTTTCGTTATCATGCTAAACATTCATTCGCGAATCGGTTAGGTGCATTTGCAACATTCTCTCATTATATTCTTCTATAAATATGGCGGCTATCGTTTCTTGCCACGGATACGCGGTGAATTCGCAATTTTCGTGTAAGAAATTGTGTAGAATGCAGACTTTCCGGTAAGCCCATTTTCGTGCCTCGAGGCTGCTAACAGCTGAGCAAATATCATTATCCTTATCGTTATTACCTCGTCCTTGAACTCACTAGGTGTACGATGGTATTCACGAGTTTTTGCATGAGTAAGAATGTCTCAAAAATAGGTACGAGAGATACGAGCCTCTGGTATTTTGTATTCTTTTCATTTTAAAATTCCAATTTTCTTGATATTCTGAAAGTAATTCAGAAACAGAATAATATAATTTTTAATTATTAAATATTATACAATTTTTTATTGATCTCTTCAAGAGAAAATTAAATTTTGGTAAAAGAAAAAAGAAGATTTAAAGGTTTAAGCTAATTAAAACAAAGCTCATTTTAAATTTATTTAATAAATTTTTTAAATACCGAGC